GCGATCGAGCGTACGATGCGCATCTTATGTTTAATATATGTGATGGATCACGCCCAGATATCACAGAAGATACACCGCAATGTTGGGCCATTTTAATGCAAAAATGTTGGCACTCGGTGCCTTTAGAGAGGCCATCCATTAATGAAATACATAGTGAAATAAATTCTAGCTATTGGAATGTAGATAAAATTTTTATAGAAGCCGAAAATAAGCGAAAAGAATTACTTAAGTCCGGAAGATTCAATGCTAAACTTATGCATCCTCATCAGAAAACCCATAGCAAATTATTAAATCCTACAATAGATTTAATGCTTTCAAGTCTATATCGAAGTTTCAGATTTTCTACACCAGACTCTGTAAATTCTTTTCAAAACTTCAGCAACTATTCATTTAATATTAAGTAAGCAAATAAGTTCGTTATCTGCCTATTGAAATTTTAAAGTTAATTAATTAGTGATTTCTCTAATTAAATGCTATACAGTCCAGAGCTTTTTAAAAACACTACCAATCTACATTCAACATTACACTTGCCAACTTCAAAAAAACATACAATCGAATTTTTATTAGACAAAGAAGACTATAGTAAGTTAAATTTAATATTTAATTATTTATCGTTCTAAACATATTGCTAGACTTATTTATGACATTACTTATATAAGATGAAATAAAACGAAGAAAAGTGTTTAATAATGGTAACTTTACTATTAAACTTAATGTCTATTCAATATTTCATTATTGAATTATTATTAATTATAATATTTAACATTTAACCTATACTCTCGTATGAAATATCAAAATAATGAATTTATATACAAATTAACATTAACCAATTAAAAAGAAATATCATGTTCACAGTCGCATACCTTATCAATAACTGAAGCCATTGATAAGATAATTAGCTTAAGCAATTTAAATTTGAACCATGATAAGCTAAGTTATGAGGCGGGAAAAACTCTAGCTGAAGCTCTATATACAAATTCTGCATTGAATAGCTTAGATTTGAGTTCAAAACGTTTATGCAATGGGGCAGGACAAGGAATAGCCGAGTCACTATGCAATAATATCACACTGACAAATTTAAATTTAGAATGGAATTATCTGGGCGACGAAGCAGGGGTAGCACTAGCTATGGCTCTATGCAAGAATATTACACTTATGTGCTTGAACTTAAAAAGTAATCGATTAGGTAATAAAGCAGGATCAGCTCTAGCTGAAGCTTTATGCAAAAATATTACGTTAACTAATTTAGATTTATCTGAAAATCGGTTGGGTGGATCAGCAGGAAAAGCATTAGCTGAAGCTTTATGCAAAAATACTACGTTAACTAATTTGGATTTAAGTCAAAATGGACTAGGTGAATCAGCAGGAAA